ACACAAATTAAACAAATATACTTTGAAATAAAGCTTGTGAAGGTTCTTATCATGTCTTTACTTCATGGCGAGCTGCACGGCAGTGTGTTTTGTAGCAATAGGGTTTTGGGTTTGATACCTGACCAAGGGTGTTTCTGCATGGAGTGTGCATATCATCCTCTCCAGTTACTCCCTCTTTCTTCCACAATCCAAACAGTTGCTTCAATTGCCCATTAATGTGCATGGATGTGTGTGTCTAAGGCACCTACTCAACCCACGCTGATTGACACGCATGATGGATGGATGGATGGATGGATGGATGGATGGATGGATGGATGGATGGATGGATGGATGGATGGATGGATGGATGGATGGATGGATGGATGGATGGATGGATGGATGGATGGATGTGTGGACTTTAAGCTATACTGTAGGGTAAAGTTGTGTCACATTAAAACTGCTAAACTTTTATTTTGCATTTTATGTAACTAATAAAGGTAATATAAAGGGACAAGGATACATGGTTAAAAATGCTCTACATATATCTGAAAAGTGTGGCATGCATTTGCATTTAATGATATTTGCACTGAAACTCTTAGTTCAAATACAGTGAAAGTAATCAGTCTAAGAAGAACAAAACTCCGTAAATCTAAAGCCGGGCATACAGTGGGGTTTTTTCAATCGTTGCACGCAGCTACAGCTCATACTGTACGACGAAACAACAGGGTTTAGTCGTACAGTGTGAGCTCACAGCTCAGATTTATGTTCTGCACGACACTCTGGTGCGATCTAGCTGCTCACACTGTACATCTAAAAACTACGCTGGACTCAGCTCCGCAGTGAGATGGAGCTACTCTGACTTCAAATGAGTAGAAGAATAATAAGCTCACTATAGTGAAATGCTCTGCCTTGGTAATTTGTGCAATTTTGTGCTGAAAATCAAACATTGGATTTTCTCCCGACCTCACGATTCCTGATCAGGAGGTGGTTGTGAGAAGCTGATCAGCCCTCATTACCCCCTGTACACTACACGACGCACAATCAGGCTGAAAGTCGGCCCAATTAGAAAATTCTTGCACAACTAGAAAGTCGCCCCGAAAAGGGCAAAAAAATCACACAGTTTAAGCCCGGCTTAATTCACACTAAGTTTTTTTTGTTTGTTTTTTACGGCACTAGTGGACAGTAGGCTGACAGGAAAGGGGGTATGAGAGAGGGGGAGAGACATGCGGCAAATGACAATAGGCCGGTGCGCTAACCACTGCACCACCAAAGCCTGCCCCAAATTCCAATGCAAGATGCAAGATGATTTTTTTAATTGCGCCATTTTATAAATTTTTTTTCGAAACAAACGCCTACTTTTTGTTCTTCTGCTTCTTTTCATTCCTGTTCCTATTTCTAACAAAGATTTTTTTTTGTTTCATTTCCAAAATGGCAAGTCTCGAATTTTTTGTCCAGAGGCAAAATGAGAGGAAAATAAAGGGAGTGGAAAAAGAAGCAGAAGCCGCTGATGTTAAGGAAGTTGAGATCTGACACTTTGTGCCCTCCTGAGTCTGTGAGGACTTGTTTGTACAGTCTAAGAATGAAATGTAAACATGTCACTTTTCATAAAGGCCTTAGTCCTCTATCCAGGCCAAACAAAATCAGAATTTCATGTCTCTAATTGCTTCTTTTTAAAGGGCTTTATGGGTTATTTTCCTGAAACTGATCCACCAATAACAGACAAACTAACGTGGATAGTGTGAGCTAACAGGTTAGGACACAAGGGAAATATGAGAAAATCATCTTAGTCATATATATTGTAATAACTATAAGGGATGAGAAATAAATATGTGCAAATGAAAAGAAATTTAAAAAAAAAGCGAAGACAGTGAGAGTAGGAAGCTTTTCTTGCAAATTGCTCACACTTTTAAAATCCTTCTCTCCCTCCTTTATTTTGTGGTCTGCCCACATGTCCTGCCCTCCTTTACTCATCTTCTTCTGCCTATGCCTCCGTCTGTCTCCTCCTCGCTCTCGTCTCCCTCCTGGGAGGCTGGGTCCACTGACCCCGTGTGAAAGTCAGCAAAACGCATTCCAGCTCGGTCCACTCCACTCTGGGAAAGTCGGGCCGCCATGAGACATGATCTTACAGACAGAACTGAACTGCTACTGGGCGCAGAAGGTGGAAAAAACAGTGGGTGTGTTCAGGACCCAAAGATTTAAAGCAGGAAACTGGCATGAATCTTGTTTAAATCAGTCTTCCTCTTTAATGATAAGAGCGGCTGATTTGTGATAAGCACAAGCTAAAACTTGTGTGCTGACTCGTAAAATATCTTCTCTCTTTGCTCCCACTTTTATCTTTATCTGTTATTCCCCAGAGTCAACCACATATTTTTCCAAATTTTTCTCTTTTTGACGTTTACACAGTCTGAGATTGGTGAGTCATGCAATTTCCGTCTAACTGACCTTTGAGGGATGTCTGGAGCTAAATTTGGAAGCCTTTGACACGACCAACTGGTAAAAAACAATACAAAAAAAAAAAGCTTAAAGTTCTTATTCTGCTTCAACCTTCATGGATATTGTTGCATGACAACCAAGTGATGACCAAGATAAAGCAGGCCATTCAGTAATTGTAGGGTGGAAGGAAAAAGATGGGTTTTTTTAGCATTTTTAGCCAATCAAAATTCAGTATTCATGTGTATTACTGTTCTTCTGAGAAAATACTTTTACTGAAATTGCTCTGTTCTCTTTGAACACCAAAATTTTTAACTCCTTTCCTTTGCAGCAGAGCTCATGTTCAGTCAGGTTGAACATAAATTATCAAGTGTTGCCACAGCTTCTCAATTAGACCCCAGACTTGATTTTGACTGGGTTATTCTGACACGTATATGTGCTTTGATCTGAGCTCTTCCATACTAGTTTTGGCTGTATTTTTAGCCTCGTTGTCCTGCAGCAAAGTGAATCTCCGCCCTAGTCGTAAGTCTTTGCAGCCTCTAACAGGTTTTCTTTCAGGATTGCCCTATAATTAGCTTTATCCATCTTCCCATCAGCTCTGACAAGCTTTGCCTTCCCTTCCAAGAGAGAATGATCCCCACCCCTGAATAGGCTGAAAAAAAATATATAGATTCTTGCAATATTCATTCCAAAAAAGTTAAAAAACAACAACAATCCACTGGACTTAACTCTTTTGGAATGACTATGACCTGGATAACTGAGAATCTTCCCCAGCATTTGGCAATATTCATATCCCAAAGGACAGTTTGGAGTCTAATAATTGTTACCTTATATATTCAATGTATAATAAAATACATCTTAATGCAGTAATGTAATACTGAGTCAGTTTGTCATCATACAGCAGGTGATGCTCGCTTCTTAAAATCTTAAAATTCCCCATCAGAACTGCAGCTCCTCCAGAGTTACCCGGGGCTTCTTAGCAGCTTGATGTTAATTTCTTTGTCAAGAAATCCCAACAAAACCCACTGAAGTTTGGAATTGTAACATAAAAAAGAAATGTTGAAAAGTTTAGAGTTTGATCCAGATGCAATTAAATGCCCTGAAATCTCTTTTGTTTATTATTTATAAGGGCATGTGTGCCTTTCTTATAGAAGTTATGACAAAAAAACATACTGTTGTTTTTTTTTAGTTTCCTTTTAGCTTGATCCTGGGTGTTGGGTATTAGGGAAATTGGTTGCTGCAGAGTCAGTTAAGCAGCTGTTATGCTGCTATGCAATCCTTTAATTTTAGTTTTTGATTGTGGACTTTAATCAAAGATTAATGATGATCAGACTCTGGATTTTATTTAATTTTCTGGCCCAGAATGACCAAGCTAAAGCCCAGACATTTATCTCATTCAAATTCTGAGGGGGTGAAACATGAAACAATTAGGTGGGCTGAACATACAACAAAGAAAACCATTATAAATATCACACAGCAAGAGTTAGGGCTGGGGCCAACGTTCCACAGACTGAAGTCATGGACTAGTGGATGACAACCAAAAGCAACTTAGAATAGACTCAGCTTTATAGGCCAAGTCTGGTGCACAATAAATGAATTTGACTTCATTTTTCATTGCTCACAATAAAGTTCAGCCAAATGGAGTAAGACAACCTGTTAAGATGTCCATCCTTCAATAAAAGCAGATTTTTTTTTTTTATTAAACTCATTTTATATCATAAGAAAAATGAACAAATCGGAAAAAAAAATCTACAAAAAAAATAAAATAAAAAAATGAATATTTCCTTTGGTGTATTAGCTTTATTATTATAGCAGTATCATTACTCACACTGCAGCAGATCCCCATTCCATAGAGAAAAGGGTCCACATTTCTAAAGGTCAAAGAAGGTGTCAGAAGCAATAATCCAGATACATGGAGGGAGTTTGAAAGTATGCATAGTGATGAGAGTGGAAAAATAATTGGAAGAAATGTAGAAGAAAGAGAGTGTGGTGTAGGGTAGAACTGATAAGAAAGGGTCAGATTCAGTAAAACAGGGATAAGGACTGACATTCAGCCTCCTTACCTTAGCTCACATACTGTAATCAAAGCAGTGCTAAGAAACGCCCCTGATGGACAAACATTATCCGACTTGTAACAAAGTGAGTTTCACCTGCAGCAAAGTCTAAATAGGGAAGGAAAAGAGAGAAGCAGCCGGGTTTCCCATCACCAGCCTTCCAGACAGGATCTTCCTGCCTGACCCTGGTGAAAGCTATGCAAGTATGGAGTTAATCAAAGTGTGTTAGGATGACAAGCAGAGGGGCCTCCAAGAAGCCATGCCAGGGGCCTCTTTTACACAAAACCAGCAGTGTGACTCGGGTGCTGTACTTTGGACAGGAACTGTGGTTGAGGGCTGGGGCAGGTAATCTGTCTGCTGGTGGCAATAAACTAAAATCAGCTCTAATTTCAGCAAAGCCTTTTTTTCCAGGGCTTGAGGTTAATGACATGAACATCAGCCCCTTTGACCACCTGGTGACATAAACATGTTCTCATATCCTACATGTCAGCGCTTACAGTTTAGAGGCTAGCAGCCAACAGCCATGGCGGATCTCACCTCTGTAATAATGAAGAAGTCATCTCCAGGCTCTCCCTGCACCACAATCTTCTCCCCGTCTTCAAACTGAACAGGCTCCAGAGCATCAGCCACAGTCAGGCGCTCCCACTTATCCAAAGACTCTGTGAATGAGGAAGACGAAACAGTAAACATAGTGGATTCACCAACTCATCTTCATGCAGTTTCTGCTGCATGATCATGGAGGCTGTCTTCTTGGGTCTCCAGGGAGGTGGTGGGATAAATCACATTCCAGACTAATCCAGTTATTCATCAGGAACCATTAGCATTCAGATCCTTTGACTACTCCCTTATTTCATGGAGGCCCAGGGAGCTTAAACACCTTAAAATAAAGCCCCAAATCTGTTTTGCTTACGTTGCCTTGTGGTGACAGATATGGTTTATCCCCAAAAAAGTATCTTTCATCCAGCAATAGGATACAGTATTAGAGACAGCCTGCTAAAAATAGCAACTTGAACAAGAATTCAAACCCTGTGTACATTTTCCCATTTTCTTCAATTAAAGCCACAATCTTTATTAGGATTTTATGTTAAAACCAAAAACGTTTCAAACGTATGAACTAATTAAACCATAAAAGCGCACAACTTTTCCTTGGGTAACTCCAATAACCTAGCAGGGAGAAAGTAATTCTGAAATATAAAGCTATAAATTACTTTTTTTTAAGTTACACCAGCAAAGAGAATGTTATAGGGCTTCTTTTTATTGGTGTTAATGTTGAATATCGCTGAGTTTTAGCTTTAGTCACTGAGGGAAGTGCAGGTTAATCTATGTGGTCAAATATGGCAGATGAAAGCAATTATTACAGCTGATGATGAATGCTTTTTGTGTGTGGTGCAAGTCAGGTCAGACGAAAGGAAAACTATTTTTGGTCAAAAAGACTGAAAATGGCATTCCAATGATGAGGCACGCTGGTGGCAGCATAATGCAGAGGGAATGTGTTTCTTTTCTGGAGGGGATGCTAGATGGATTAAAATAAAGGTAAATCCTTGCAAGACAAAAATATCAGCTAAAAGGCTGCAGAAAACTATAGAGTGAAGAAGAGATTAACTTCTCTAAGTGTTTGTAAGACAGAACAAAAAAAAATAAAGGGGAATTAATACTTTTAAAGGGCAGTGAATCTTCAGATTCAGCCTAAAGCAATGTTCAAGAAGAAAGAAAAGTAATTCAAATTCAGCTCCATTTAGGTTTAGGTTCTGATCAATTGTAAAGCAAATATTTCCTAAACATTATAGAAAATTGAGGATTTACTGTTTAATAAATCAAGCTTAAAAAAAATCCACTAAAAATTATACTGGTATCTACTTTCAGTTTTTAGGAGTAGTTTCAGATGCAGCCAGTTGGTCTTTCCAACTATCCAACCACTGAGACGTTGACGTGGTTAGCCCGAGATATTCCTAGAAGCTGCTGGTTATTTCACAGAAACCCAAGCGGATGGTTTCACATCTCTCCTCAGAAAAGCAATGCTTCAACCAAAAGAGGTTAAAGCCACGCAAAATTTGATGTTAAAGGAAGGAGGATCGGCCACAAATAACTGCGCATCTCCACACAGATGTTTGACCAAATGATCTCATCCTTCTTTCACACTTCAGCAGATCAGTGTGGGCTAATCTTTCCCAGTCCATCCATCTGCATGTGGAATGTGACTTATCTGCAGCGAAAACACTCCTCATCCTCAGCTTTGTCTAGATGAAAAGATGATTCATTGTTTTTATTTGACTAAGACACGAGTTAGAGGCGTAAAACTGTGGCGGAATCTCTTTGTCTGGAAGCATTGTCTCCTGACGTGCTCACTAACTGATCCTGTTGTGTCTATTTATCTGTGTGTATAACCGTGTAGGCATTTAGGATTAACTGGGATAGGCCAGGGAGTTTGGAGGTGTCCAGTGTCCTATCCAGTGGGGCCATGCTGTCTGCCGGACCCAGATGGATGTCTTCTGTCTGGCTGCAACCTAAAAGGCAGCAGGTCCTCCAGAGAGGTGATCCTTAACGACAAGGGACGTAACACGATATAGAGATGTCTTGGCTGAAGCAGCTACATTTTACGCTTCACGGAGCCTGCACCCACTTGTATCGCCTCGCTGTAAACATCCAGGGAACTCACCGCTGGGACGCTGAAGCTTGTTTAAGCGCGAGTGTGACAAACATTTGTTATTTCTCACTTAACACCAAAACATCAAGGGCTTGCACCCAATTTCGTGGCTATCTCTGAAATCAGAGACAAACAAAAACACTCCCGCCTCCTGACATTGCTGCGTTTGATGGAGGGTGAGCAGAGAGGCAAAGCAGCGGAAAGGGGGCATGGAAGGGCGGTATTCCGCTTCGACGAGGGAGGCGGGTTCCTGAATTCAATCCTTAACAAAGCTGTGAAAAAGGGAGGAGAATTAAAGAGGGACGACTTCAGAGAGACAATCTCCTAAGTCTTGAACTGAGTGTATGTGTTTACTCACCCAGCTAATAACTCTGTACAGGGGGCACAGCCTTACGCTATACACCCGGCACACACGATCAAGTGGAAAGGGATGGAACGTCACTTTCAATTGCACCTCAATTTGAAGGTCTGAATGAATCTCATTTGCCTTCCCTTTAAATCCAGTGGCCTGTGTAGGTTGGGTGTTATCCAAATTCCAGCAGGAAAGAGGAGCTTATCCTAACCCCCTATACTTTAATTGTCCACACAAGAGACATTACAGAGCGTGGCGGGGCTTACGGGCGAACAGTGTGAGTAGATTAGGACTGTAAACACAGACCTTACTCAGCTATAGGCCCCGTGTGACAGCGTATGCCGCTGTTTATGTGGGATAAGCTATAATATACATAAATTTAACTGCCCGGACCCTGGATTCTAGGCCTTTTGAAATCAACTTGCACCACAGGCTATTATTACGGTACACATGCTAAAGACACCCATTTTTTGCTGATTCATTAAAGAGGACACAATAGACCTACTGTAGTTTTTTATGCAACCTTTCTCCCGATGATACCACAGAGTTTCATGATTTTAATTGGACTTTATATGACAGACAAGTGAGAGTTGGAAGAATAGGCTATACATTTTGCATTGTTTTATAATAAAATCTGACAAGGGTTAGTGCTTGCTCCTTGGCCTATAAAATGCTTTTATTTGTGTAAAGCTTTAAAACAACACATTTGGACAAAGTGCTGCACACAAATGGAAAATAAAAACCTAAAAGATGTAAAACAAAAGGAATTGAGCACAAAACAAAGCAATGAAAGTCAACACCTCAGGAGACAGAGATGGCTTAACATTGTGTGAGTTTTTATGCTGAATGTGCAACATTAATTTATTAGCTTAGGGGTAAAAACTGAGAAAGAGTCTTAAGGGAAGAAAAGATGCAGAGGGCTGAAGCAGATCAGACAAAAACATTTGGGGGATCACCAAAGATGTAAAAAAAATTTTAAAACAACAGGAAGGCGATGAGGCAAGGCTAAAACTTAGTTGATGTAATTTGCATTTCTTGTACCAGCTAGTAGATGCATAGCAGGATTTAAAACCGGCTGAATATAAGCCATTCTTTACTCAGGCCAGAGTAATTGTTTTCTCAAATTCCTCAGAGACCTCACTAAAATGGCTGTATTTAAACTTATAATTTGATTTAACATGGGCAGAGTTAAATCGTAATGACTTCTGAAGGAAACTGATTGTGCTTGTATGTATTTTTCGCATAACAATAAAGGAGGCAAAATAAAAATGGACCGCAAACGTTTCCGTCTCCTATTTATAAAAACCATATAAATTGAAAATCTCAATGATAAACACTGAAATTTGTGACAAAAATGTGAAGAATGCCTGTATAACTTGTTTTTGGATGTTATCCTCTGATAAAATAAACTTACCAAGGATGGAGACCTTACTGAGGAACTCTTCATACATCTTTCTCTTTCTCAGAGTACTTCCCTGCAAGAAAAAGAAAAACACCACATTAACTTATTAATATTGCCATAAATCAACTAGTAGTGCATCAAATTACTATTTCATTATTCTGCTATTTACTTCAGTCTTCTTGGAGTGGCTCGGTTTCAAAATGCCCATCCTGATTTATTTTGCAATGCTTTTTTATTACTAAAGATTAGTAAAAGTAAGAGTCAGCCAAACGTACAATTAGGTAATCATATTTTAGTTTCTTTTTTTTTTGTATCTTGCACATCTCTAATGGCCATCCATAATAGAGAAATAAACGTGCAGTGCTTACAAAAATAAACAATAATACAAGTTTATTTAAGATTGACATATTATAGTTCATGGGGTCATGCTTAGGGAAGTTTGTATGGAATATGGGTTAAGGTTTATTGCATGTGTGTGTCTGTGTGTGTGGCCTCCCCCGCCCACCAGGCAGGGGACTTTCCCCTCCCCGTCTATGCCACGAATATCAGGTGCTTTCTGACAAATCCAGACCCACAGGACCCCTTCCCTAACTATGTTTCTTCTTCACTGAGCAGAGCCACTCAGGGATTCCTGCATCATCAGAAAAAAGAATCTTCGGAGAAAAAAATCTTCCCAAGTGAGTCAACGTCAAACTGAGGATCGTAAACAACTTGATTAAAGGAATTGTAGACTGCTCTGCCTCCCTCCTGGATGCATGATTTGAGTGTGTGCAGGCAAGTCTGTTTTTAGTTCTGCCACTTATATTATGTTGCTATCTTAGCGGGGACACATTTTTTAGCATTAAGCGAACGTATGCGGTATCCTCTACTCTGAAACTTTCACATGCAGATTAAAACCCACACCAATAGGCTCTGCAATGTTCACAGCCTTTCTGCAAAGCTTTAAGATTTTAAATGCATGTCATGCAAACCTAAAAACATATACAGTATGTCTGATTTATGTGACTGCAGCAGGACCGGCAGGGTGGGCCAAAGTAATGTATGTCATGTAGGACTTGCATTTCCAAGTTACTAAATGAAAAATACGACACTCTCAATGACAGATTTTCTTGCACGCGTCTACATCGGCATCTATCCTAATCCGTCCTGTCTACATGGGAGGGCTCCAGCACACGACCATGACTAAAAATGTCCTACTTCTCTACTACCTAATGTGTTTGCCATTCATGTGGTTAAAGATGAACCAGCCTTTTTGTCTGTTTGCTGTCTTTGAGGTGGAATCATCAAAGCCTTGAGGTGTGGAGTGAAGCCAGACTAATCCAACTGTATCTTAAGCCTCATCTGTATCACCTTCATCTCTATCCAATGTGACACATCACCGCTCTCTCAACCTTCATCGCTCCTGGTTTCTTTGGTATAATTTACTCTGGTTTCCTTTCGTCTTCTGTTCTGTTTGTTGACAGTGGTCTGTCAGTTTGATAATGGCTTTGGATGTAACTGTGTCTGTTTAAATACCAAGATGACACAGCAACGCTGGTATTGTATGACTGATGGCAACACAATAGGGAGAGTGTGTTTACTACAAGGACTGGTATTACACTGTTTGCTCAACTCTTGAATAAGGAAAGTGGTGTGATGTGTGGGTGTAGTAAGGTTTGAAGGGAGGCCTTGGATTTGCTTTACAACATCAATACAATGACATGTTAGCTTTGTCAACATGTTCATCATTTAAAGTTGTTTATTATAAAGCTAATAATTTGATAATCAACTTATTTTCTTGGCAGAGATTATGGTTGACCAACCGGGCTACCAACTATTTATTCACCGATCAATCTAACGATAAAAGAAGTTAAGGTAGTTGAAGACATTTTTACTGGACGAAGCTTTCCTGATTTGTATTTCTGTTTTTACAAACTGTATTTAATTATTAATATGATTAGATTACTTTTCTATGAAGAATATTTTTGGGGATTTGTCAGTGAAAAGTGATATTTAAAGACGTTTTTCATCGCTAACACAGATTTGGCTTGAAAGTGGGGGAACTCTGTTCATCTCTCGATCCAATTTTCCTTCATGAGTCTTAAAAAACATTACGTAGCCTTGTGTCCAAACAATGCAAAAACATGGTTGAAAAGTAAATGGTGAAAATATGCCTCCATAAGGACATCCATTGATGTATACATATGGTTGAAAGATGTTTAGGGTGGATAAAAGGGCCGACCAGGTCTGATTTTCATTTTCTCAATTTAAGCTAAATTTACACAGCCTAAGATAGTATGCATTTTAAATATATTTTGTTGGCTAAATAAAGACAAGCACCAACAAACAAATAGCAAAACATTGTCTCAGCGGAATTTTTTAAACTGTACATCCGTTAACCTGTAGGGAACAAAGATTGCAATGCCTTTGACATTTTATTCCCATCAGTTAAGATAATTCCAGCATTTCATTTGTAAACATGTTGCAAACACACACTGCAGTGTTTCATTTGACAGTAACTTTGGTGTAGCTGCGATCTGATTTTATTTATTTCAGTTTGCATATGCTGTTTGATCTAAGGTAATCATCTGCTTGCTGTCCAAAATCATAGAGAGTGGTCCCCTCCGCAGGGAACACCATAATAATACAAAACAGATCTATTTGTAAGCATAAGCTCTTGTGTTTGTAAACAAAATCCTGTAATCACGTAAAATATGCGATCATTTGTTGAAGCTTGTTCCTGTTCCTGTGTATACCAGCTCTGTGTGATACACTGAATTTTTCACTGACTACATAATCAGGTGTTTCATCATACTGCAACCACATATTGGTTATGTTAATATAATTATTTTTATGTGCACTCATCTAGTTTGTTGTTAACCAATAAATTCTGTATCTGCAATCAACTGCTTCTGCACACCCATAGATTAGGGGCAGAATAGGTTTTGTTGCTTGGACTGAGTGTAACAAAGGAAAGTTAGGCAATATTTAAAATGTCCATTAAAACCATACCGACTGATTATTAATCAAGCAGTATTCACACTGTTTTTGGTATACACACAGATGCTGAATATCTGAAAAGCGGACTGGAGTAGATCTAACTGCAACAGATGTGAAACATCAGAACCTGTTGGATGTATGTATAATTCAGGGATCCACCAATGTTGCATACTTTGAGTGTTCGGATAAAATTAAAAGTGGTTTCTTTTAAGATTATAAAATTAACACTGTACTGCTGCATAGATATGTCTAAAATTTAGCAAATCAGGGCTATTTGTTGTTGAAGGAGCTCTAATGAAGACTCTGGAGTTGGTTTCTTCAAAAGTGACAAAATATACCCAAAAAAATGCAATACCATAAAAAGATGGGTATCTAATGTTGAACCTAATGCCAAATATAACTTGAACCAAGATCAAACTGGCATTCTAGCAGATCAATGCACAAATTTTAAGGTTATGTAACTGTTTTTGGTTGAATCAACTGGTTCAATGCTTAAAATCCCAATTCTTTTGAATGAGGCTTTGCCTCATTAAGCCTCAGTTTGGCTAACATTATTTAGCTCCTCCATTGTGGTGTGTTTTGGTTGGACATCATGTTGCGTTATTTGAACAGATTACTGTTAACAGGTAGAGAAGCAATTCTTGGGGTCTCCTGACTTCTATGTACAGTATGTTAATGTATCGACCACAGGGTGTAATGGTTGTGCTCTTAGCTGTGTCACCTTATGTATCACTGTTACTAGTGTATAAAAAGTTATTAAAATTACATAAGGAAACAAGCTAACCAAGCAGGGGAGCAAGTAAAGCCTGAGGGAACAACAGATTTATAATACAGGGGGGCAAACCCAACTACACTCAATCATTCAACCCTTCAATCAATTCACACACTGATGGTGGTGAGCCACACTATAGCCACAGCTGCCCTGGGGTGCGCTAACAGAAGCAAGGTTCCTGTACATAGAAAGAAGACTGTGACGAGTATATGTAAGCATGATAGTTATTAGCTTCACCTACTAGTTTCATTTAATTTTAGCTTAAGGGTCTATTGAAATTGATACCTAAAATGTGGATTGATTTTTTTTTATAAACAGCCATGGCACTATAGAGAATGGATCAAAGCAATGGATATTTTTTGAAGCATTAGTTCCTTTTGTGTTCTTACTGTGCCTCTACGTGCAAAGTGTAAGTTTTTCCTAGTAGGGAATCCTGATTTTTTTCATCAAATTTTGTCCTACAGCATCCACTGATCCATTTTCAGTATCCTCCTCCTGATCAGGAGTGGCTGACCATAACCTCTTAACCCTTTATAGGGCAAGTTACCATTTTTGATAACTTTCATACCCCTTAAAAATTGAGTCGTCCCCCCCCCAGTGAGGTCTAGAAGCACAAGATCTATATCCAGCCATTCAGCAAAGATACTGCTGCATTGCTGTACATCTTATTTTGGCATTTGACCTATTAGATGAGCCCTTGAATGATATATTACCTACAGTAAATGAAGTTGGAAAAAAAAAATTAAGTCAAGAAAAGAGGTAAAAAGCTAATTGAAAAGTTAAAAAGTAAAGTTAAAAATTTAATAAGCCTAGTTAACAATTATATTTAGGTTTATAAACTAAAAAATGTAAGTGCCAGTATCAGCATTAATGCCTCTAAGGTTATGTTTCATTTACTGTGTTTTTTAAATTAATTTCTGATTGAAGAACTTTTATTTTTCTTAATATATTTGGGCAAGTTGGCATTTCTTGTTATTACATTAATATTTGCCATCAAAATATCCATATTTTTTGAATGTTACAAAGGTAATCAGGTCTTTTCCTGGATTCCAATAACACTATTGGCTTGAAATTTTCACTGAGTAGTATTTGAGAAGTATTTCACTGAGTGCCCTATAAAGGGTTAAGTCAACAGGTTTGTTAAGTAACAGCTTAGAATTTGGTTATAATTGAATTAAGTGTTAAAAGATTTCAAATGTTTGTCAAATTACACTAATATGTTTGTCTTGAAATCAAATTAATCATTGTTAAAGGTGGAAAATCTCACTTTATCTTAAAAATTTAAAGATTATGAAGACAAAGAAGACAGAAGAGCAGATGTTCAAAAGTCAAACAAACAGAAGTGCCAGCGCACCTTTCAACCCCAGTGCTAACTAACAGCAGACACAGCGACTCAGCGTAATTTTTCACTGGGAAACACACACATATTCTTACACAAAGAGAGAACGCTCATTGTGTTGGCTGAACACGCTGCCAGAATACCACACTTTGTAAAAACAGCTTTACAAATCATTGACAGCAATAATTAACAACAGGTTGATGTAATTGAATTCTGTTTTCAACTCCTCTACCCCCTCTTCTTGCTGCTGCTGCTGCTGCTGAAAAGAACGAAGGAATGAGAGCTGGAGAGGGCGAGAATCCTCTCAAAGAAAGGTTACCCAGGCGGATTGGGCCGTCACTTTAACTATGCGCTTAAGAGGGGACCTGAGTGCATGGCAGATTGCTGCCAACTTTACAATGAGCTTGAATTCCACCTTCTTAAAAAAAATTTCTTCCAACTCAACAAGCTCTGACATAGCAAAATCATTTTTACTGCTGGCAATAATTAAAATTTTGATACACACAGGAATTGGGAGGGTTAATCGGTGTCTGACTAATCTATTTGAGTTGAAGCGTTAGGGACGTCTGAGATCATGTTTAGCAAGCAAGGGGGTCCCACACAGACAGACATGTGCAATAATTAGTCATTCCAACAGCACAAAAATATATATCTGAGTGCGACAGCCAGGGCAGAGCACCTAATGTTTCCACTTTAAACATTTAGACATTCCAAGCAGATAAGCTCCCGGAGTGGGAAGTGCATGTACAGGCATTAGGAATGACCCTTTCTCTCCCTTTCAGGCCCCACACACTCCCTCTCCGCTTTTGATTTTTACCCTTTCTTCATCTAAAAAGAGATCTAGGAAGATATCAAAATGGGAGGATAGATGTGTAAGCATACATCAGTGGGCGTATCTCCATGAAAGCAAGTATTGTAAGTGTTTGAGAAGTTTTAAGTGGTTAAGTGGGAGGAAATATTAAAAGCAAAAGAGCAGGAAAGATGAGTGTTGAGGACCTACTGCAGAATATGTTCGGTGTGAGTGCATATATGATCCCTGCTTCAGCATTCACTCAGTATGAAATATTTTCTGCGTTCTGATTGTTCAGTGTTACTCTTTTTTATATTAGAAATGCTTTAACTTAGAGCACATTTTTAACTAACTAAATAATTAATTAATGTTAAAAAATATTTTTGGTCAACCTTGTTTTATGGCAACATGGTTCTGTGTAGAGAAATGTTAAAGCTTCTGACTGTGATGGATTTAATTTATGGATATAAGAGCACGAAGGTATTACACATTATCAGATTTTCTTTGTGAAAAAACAAAAAATGAAGCCGTGTGTCACTTTTATTTCACTACTCTTGTGTTGGTCTGCAAAAAAAATATTAAAAAAGGTCAATAGGTTCGTAGCTCTGATGTGATAAAATGTTAAAGGTCACAATTATTTTGCAATAATACACAAAACCAAACTATGCTAGCTGAATAATAAAGTTTTTCATCATTTTGGAGATTTGGGCAGTTCAGTTTAGGAATTATGATGGCAATATTTGCTTCACTCCAACAGGTTAAACTTAGGTTCCATATAATATAGAGAAGACTTGTTTGAGTTTCATACGTACCATGAGGATGCGGCGGTAGCTGTCTCTGTCGATGCCCCACAGCTTAAGATCAGTTTTGGCCTTAACAGTGGCAGCTCTGGGAGTGCCATAGATCAGGGCCAGCTCACCAAAACTTCCTCCCTCACCGATGTTGGTCACCAGCTCACCATTCACATACACCTACAGAGATAAAGAACAGGTAAGGAGACTGCCTGTTCCCAATGATACAGAAAAACTGACGGTTTCAGTCGGAGTTTTCTAGCAGTCTGAATTTACTCTAAAGGCCTGAATCTGGAAGGCATTTAGCATCAGATCCAACAGAAAATCGGAGCATATGTGCCTGAGGGACTTAGAGCCCATTGCTGGTTAGACTGCATACGATCCCACACAGATAGGCCCCTGGTCTATTCTGATCAGAACTTCCCAGCGATTCATCAGCAATGTTATGAGTCTGATAGGAATAGTGACTCAGTGTCAAAGTAAAACACATCCGCTTAGGGTAAAATACAATCTAGATTTCAAGTTAAATCACCCAGTTTTGAGCTGGTTGGAAATGGTGAGTGGAATAGTGCATTTAAAGGAAAAAGAGTGGACTCTGACATACATAATAAATAAAACAGTTCAATAAACAGTGTACTTTATCTGTGGTAGGAACCCAGGATAACAGAAAACAGACAAAGTAAGAAAATTATCCTCTTTGAGCAAAGAGGGACAATGTTGGATGCGAATGGCTTATCGCACTCCTTTCTTTTCTGAAATTGTAAAAAAAAAAAAAAAAAAAATCTAAAAAATCCAAACTTACAAAAGGCTTTAAGAGAATTACCTTTTAGTGCCATGTCCAGTTATGAACCATCCCAAAGCCTCTGGATGCTTTTTGTTTTCTATTAATTTAATCTTTAAGAGCAGCAGGTTGTTCATTTAATACAGCGCTGCTTTGCATAGTTATTGACAGCCAACCTCAGCATTACATTTACATTTAAAAATGGCTGATACATTTTTTTTCCCGTAATTTTTATAATCTGACCCGGTCAAATGCGGGCATTGTTCCAATTTTTGGGACACAGGGACAGAGATGAAAAACGTTGCACAGTCCTACACAGATCAGGATTTGCTCACCCTATGCATGGTAGGAGTTTCTACATGCACTGCAGCCGCTGTGACATGGAAAAAAAGTCAACAGAGCTTGCAAAGTTAGATGCATGCAGCGTTAGCAGGCCTTAAGCCTCTAACAATTTCCATTAAAACAGAATCTATCCGTTCATTCTCTTTTCTTTCCTGCACTGAGTTTGAATTCTTTCAGGTCTATCCACAAGTGAAGGGCATACACACTGACCCTGTCGACCGGTTACAAGCAGACACATGGGGAGTTCTATTTAGACCAGCCGGTAGAGATCTACAGACAATACGACCTCAGCGAGGCTCATTGGGGTCGTCTCTGGGACCGTTACGGTTTTAACTGTCAACACGCCATCCACTATCTTGTTGACTTAATAACACAGAGAGAAAGGAGGGAGGGAAACAGAAGGAGGGTTCTTTTTTTTTACTGCTCACTGCTGTGAATTGCCAGAATTGTTGGAAGCCATTATTCAGACTCTGAGGGGAACCACAGGGGACCCATCCGTCACTATAAGCTGGATTGGGTTCAAAGGGATGCAGAGTGCTGACTGTGGTTACGTCAAGCCTTAAGAGAACAATTATCCGAAAGTTGCAAAAACGTTGCATTAGAGTATTTTTGGTGGTGGGACTTTTTTTTTTTACAACCATTTCCAACCCTGTTCTCAGGTAGTAATTATTTTGTCTTTACAGAAGGACCTGCAAATAACTACTTTCATTCAACTCCCCTAAATATTTGCTTCAAATCTATAAACGGAAAAGGAATTCACTTGAAGTTAAGGTGACAGAAAGTACAGCACTGCAAAGGAATATAAAAATAAACCATTTTTGCAACATTTACATATGTAAAATATAACTCAATCTAAGCATCAAGTTGTCTGGGTGGTAGTAGATAGAAAGCAACATTAAAAAAATTAAATAAACAAAAGCATATGACAGAATAAAGCAGAAAAGTGTGATTTATAATGAATTTGTTAGCTTTAGAGCTCTCCGATGTTCTACACAAAATAAGTTAAAATAAGTAAGTTTAAAGCACTTAATCCAATGTTTGACAAATTTCTTCTAAGACAATTTCTCCAACATAAAAGCAAATGTCTTCAATTAAATGGATTTGTGTACAGACATAGACTGGGTTGCATTAGTAGCAACTTTCAGGCGGTTTATGAGATGCTGGCAAATTTACACCCCGTCTAACGACAGACATCTCTACACTCTCATAACCTCTGCAGTCTTCTTGATGCAGTTTAGTGCCAGGGCTGTGGCTAGGAGGCAGCCGCTGTCTGTGAGGGTTGTGAGGTAAAATATATGTAAAAGAGGGCGAGGTTTAGCAAAGGAAGGAGGTGAGGTCGAGGATAGTCTTCCCACAGCTCGGGTGCAGGCAGAGAAGAGTCTGTGGGAGCAGATTCACTAGCGAGCAGGACACATCTGGTTTAACACATCGAAGGAGGAGCAACCGAGGCAGACCAAAGCCGCAGCTGCAGGATGCTGCAGCTGTTGAGTCGAAACGCCTTTATGGAAAACTTTAGGAACAGGTGGAAATATTGAAATTCAAGCTTAGGATGTGTTAAAATAAAATGCAAAACACAAAGCAATCATAACTAGGGTCACAAATTTGAAGGAACATTTAACAAAATAATTAGTTCGTGGTAAGAAAAGGAAAATGTAGCCATTGGGTTTCATTTACCACAAGTGATATATTTAATATCTAAATATGTTCATGAAATATATTGCCAGATCTTTTTGCTTGTATCTCCAAATTATTAAACTCAGGTGTTGCAATGACTTCCCAAACCACAGGGGATGAAATCCAGAAAGTGCAGCCCTTCCTGAAAGAGTGGATCACTCTCAGGATGTCTCCGAATACTCCACAATCAACTGGTGGTGTCATTATAGCAAAGCTGAATAGACTGAAACTCGCAACTGTGCAACCAAGTAGTAGGCCGGTTTAGAATCAGAGCAAATCTGAGCAGGGTCACCAAATGTGCAGATCTGAGCAAACTTTAGAAAAGCCAATGGCTACAGAACCCCAATCATATCATGTCTTCGGATTACCGCAGGATTAGTCTAAAGAAAACTTCATGCAAGGGTTTTTATAGCCAAGCAGCTGTTTCCAGGGACTGCAGGTGCAACGATAAGCCTCTGATGGATTGGTGTAAAGCTTTGGACTCGACAGCAGTGGAGACATGTTCTCTGGGTGGACAAATGCTGCTTCTTTCTCTGAAAATCGTATGGACAATTAGAAGTTTTGCAGCTGCAGGGTTAAAGCCTCGCTGCACTGCGCCAGCTGTAAATTTGGTGCAGAAAGGATCATGGTGGAAAAATATTGAAGGAGACTAAAACTTTTGCACAGAAATGTGAATAGACAATGTCTCGACAGGCTTAGTTTGGCTTTCCCATGACTGCGTGATGTATTGTATTTAACGTATTGAAACAGTTACTGTTTAGCAAGATATCTTAAGAGATTGGTAATCAAATGTCTACTTCAGTTCTTAACTTTTATCTAAATAAATTGCATGAAAATTGAATGATATTTCATGAAAAACTGTGGTTCAATTTCAGATGTGTCTCAGAATATTTCAGGTAACTTTTTTATTCACATCAATCAGACACCACTGAAACAATGGCAGTCAAATCAGCAGAAGTCCTATCAAGGCCCTATCTCAGTGCCGTGCTTCCTACTTTTAATTTAAAAAGGGTTGCTGATGCTGGAAACTTTAAAAAGTGAATCAACCTGCCTCTCTCTCTCCCCTCTTATCCATTTTTTCTTTGTTGTTGTTTTTACTCGTTGCAGTAAGCTGATACAGGTCACTTCCTGTTTAACTTTCCACCAGCTCCTGTTTTATCTCTCCACTTAGGTCTATCAGTGTCAGGCTAAAGACAATAGATGTACTCAATTTGGGAGCCTTCACAAGGCGCTCACCTCTAAAGTGCCACGTTCAGATTGTCATCAGACCAGAACTAGACTTTGAACAGGACGAAACATGAGGGCAGTTATACAAACCAGCCCATTTATGCAGGGGTGCAGTTCTGTCTCGACATGACTGGAGAAGGAAGAATTTGAAACGGGGTCACTATCTTGTTTTATAAACTGTCTTTGGGATAAGATGAGTGAAGACTAACATACATAAACATCACACTGAAATGTGTTTATTTTAATTACCTTCGTATACAGATAGCATATAATAAATAAGTATCCCTTAGACATTTGACCTTCATCTTTTTTTGTGATTTCAAGGAATTAACAGACCTTCCCTTTATTCAGCCTGTATAATGCATAAAAAAAACTTTATCATATTGTATTTTTATTTTGACCAAGCCTGACCATTGACCACGATTGTGATAAATGGTTAAATCTAGTCCTTCTCTATTAACTAATAAAGACTAACCTATTGCACCAAAATACAAGTGCTTGATTCAGATGCCATTATCAGTATCAGCAAGGACTTTATGAATGATGTGAGAAGAAGATAAGTGATTAAGAACGGTATTTAAAATTTTGCTTGTTTAATGACCCTAACAGTATCTTAAAAACATTAAGACATCACTTCACATCTTTATACAGACATCTTTTCTCGGGTCCCCTTTCAACTGCATGTCGACATTGTTTAGACAGAAGGCAGGACATTTTACTTGAGGGTTTGTGTTTGTGTGTGCCGGACACTTACGTCCACTTCACCTTGGTCAATCACATAGAAGTTGTCTCCTTCATCGCCTAAGAGGAGAGAGAAGGGATCGTGAGCTTATAAGAGCAAAGGAAAGCAAATGACAATGCAGTCTGACTAACTCCATTATTTCCTATACAACGTACACTTTGCTAGAAAAGGCTCTCAACATACACACTAAATCATATTAGATGGGAGTTATGATTATTATGTGCAACAGAAAGGGCTAGCCTGCAATTCGATGCATTTATTACAATAAAGATCTAGAAAAAAGTCTCTAAAGAGGCAAGGAACTCAAGAAGCTCAGCATGCTACAGCTACATTTTGCCATGATTTAGTATTTTTGGAATTGTTATAGGATAATGCAAAACTAAAAGTCTGTCTAATATATATCTCTTCTTCATAAAATGAAAAAATAACATTTGTAGTTCGTTATATTCTTTTAAATTAAAGGGCTTTAAGCTTCAGGGCACATACAACAGAGCTCCCGCCTCCTTGAGAATACATACTTCACAGGGCATGCCAATAACTTACAAAAGGACTGTTGCCAATAAAAAAAGTTGCAGTAACGGCCGTGTTCATTACTTTGGTTTAATAGAGGAAACTTTGAAACATAAGTGCCTGAACATGCAAGCTTTAACACCTCAGTGGGTTGGACCAGAACAGTACAGCAGCGCCTAACTACAGGTGGTTGCTTCATTCATTGTGGTTTTTATATAATTGACAACCAAATGTTTTATAAACAAGGTTTAAACAATGAAATGTGCTCCAACTGTGTCACTTTCATAGAAAAGCTGTGCATTTAAAGAACAACTTTAAAAGTGATGAATGGTGTATGAGGTCACCATCTTCTAAAAACATTTAGTCTAAATCAGGGAAACACTAAACTCAAATATAAGTGAATTAAGATGCAAAGGGGGTGAAATGACTCTCAATGACAAGTATCTATAACAATGCGAGATTTTGGTAAAAGCAAGGGTGTGACTGTGTGTTTTTGATCTAAGTTCACCTGAAGACCTAAAAGGTGGAGAGAACCATGTGAGCAAAGTTCACAGAAGTTCACACGGCTAATTAATACTGAGAGGATTGGAGGGCTCGTTAATCATAGTGCCCTATTTGTCACACGAAATGTTCGTTGTCTGTCTGAAAGCCTACCCCTGAAAATACCCTAAAGAGCCGTGCACACACATATATTCTGAGAAACCTGCTGCAACCTGGCCCTGCTGTCATTTTTCTTCTTTCTCTCGCCTTCATCTCATCTATCCCTCTTTCAGTTTCCTTTAACTGTGTCTGTCTTTTCTTGTACTCTTCCTGTCTTTTATCACTTTGGTGGCCAGGTCTTTGTTTTGCGTCTTTCGCTTAAGAGTGCAGGCAAATATTTAACCACAACCTCCACACACGATCACACACAGGTATAGGGAGGCACACGAGCTAACATACTTTGTGCGGTCTTGTTTCAACAGAATGTAACTTCATACATATGGATAACTTTCTATGGCTTTGCCCCAGACAACATCATGAGTAACATCTTGGATCTCTTGGGTGTTTTATTCCCAGAGTACCAATCATTTGGGTTAGCACAAGACTGTTTAAATAATATGATTAATTGATTAAGTAGTAATAACCATAACGTTATATCCAGTCCTTTAGCATTTCTGTCTGACTGCAGTTTTGTTTTGTCAACAGTGGTAAGCACTATTGCGCACCTGCCTATATCTCTACTCGGAGATGAATTTTTGTCTGTCTTCTGCCACAGTTGTGTTTTTTTAAGGCACGTCAAAAACCTTCTTGGCATTAGCCAAATACACATTTTAGTACACATTTTCTAGCAAATTTTAAAAAGTACTAATAGTATGTTGCACTCAACACTCCATATAAACGTAAAGTAATCTCATGCTACACTATGCAGATGCTCTGTCTGCAATAAAGAAACTATCCAACCCAAGCAGACCAATCAAAAGTGCCACTGATGTAAGGGTAGACAGATCTATTATCTTAAAGGAGAATTCCGGTTTTTAACACTTTTAGCCCATTTTCTGTAGTGTCCAGGATGAAATCGAATGATCGACACCAAAATTTTGACAATTGGTCCTGTCTCTGCTTTTTGGCCCATGCAGAATCCCCCCCTGGCTGCTTCAGAATGGCTTCCATTGTGCATGTCCGATAATGTCCTTAAAACAACCTTAAACGTTCTTTTTTTTAAATATGCTACTCACCGGGTCGTCAGCGATGTTCAATGACGTTCCAAAAAAAGTTTCATGAAGAAAAACCGTTCCTGTCTTGTTTTATTTAGCATTTTGTAAATCCCAGAACTATTTTTTCCGATACATCACAACCGCTTATAAACTTCCGCTTCCCGTTCGAATCTGAAGCGTTGCACACTCCAGACCACTAGTTGGCGACGGTATCCTCTACCGTCAAACTCAAAGTCCAATATGTCCTCCTCAAGAATCCACCTTTCGTATTCCATTTTCAGAGTTTTTTAAAGTGTTTAACAGAGACGTTAGCACCTCGACGTCAGAGTACACAGAGTGAAGCATAAACACTTGGGCCTTGCGAAAAGACTACAACTAAGTGTAAACAGGCCCCATTTCCGTTTCCGGTGGCGGAGGGATATTGACTATTCCAACAGAACTCAATGGGATTTACAAAATGCTAAATAAAACACTACAGGAACGTTTTTTCTTTACGAAACTTTTTTTGGAACGTCATTGAACAGCGCTGACGACCCGGTGAGTAGCATATTTTAAAAAAAGAACGTTTAAGGTTGTTTTAAGGACATTATCGGACATGCACAATGGAAGCCATTCTGAAGCAGCCAGGGGGGGATTCTGCATGAGCCAAAAAGCAGAGACAGGACCAATTGTCAAAATTTTGGTGTCGATCATTCGATTTCATCCTGGACACTACAGAAAATGGGCTAAAAGTGTTAAAAACCAGAATTCTCCTTTAAGAACTAAGCTAAAATAGTTTAGCAATTCTGGGACAACCTATATACTATTATATATATATATATATATATATATATATATATATATATATATATATATATATATATATATATATATATATATATATATATATATATATATATATAGGTTATATATACATAACCTTTTTTGCTGATTGATTAACCAACTTTTTGGGGTCTTCTTAAAGTTTGGTTAGACCATAGAACTTTAAGCCCAAGATGGTCAGGTGATTTAAGGTAGGGCTGCACAATATACCCCAAATAAATCATTACTGCAACATAATTACATAATATGTATATTGCAAAGAATTCCTTGGACTGGATGAATGTTAATTATCCAAGTACCAATACTTGGTGAAATTTGTATAATCCAGTGCATAAACTGGAATACAGAGTTAAAATGAAGGTGTAAGATGGTCAAGTAATTAAGAACCTGCATCTAAGTGAAGCTACAACTAAGTAATTGAACACTAAAAGGTAAGACATTGACTGGAAGGTTTTAATAATACTTTTTTATATGATTGATATTGAATTTTTTTTCTTTTCAATAGAAAATTATAACTATAAAAAGTTGTACTGTTATAGTGAAAATTACCAATATTATCTCATATTGCATATGTTTTTTTTTAAATATTGGGCAGGCCTATTATCATTCATTTAAAAAAAATCTAACAGTTCACAATATTTCAGTCTGGTACACATGATTAAACAAAATAGAAATGAATAATTTGAAACCAATAAACTCACTATTTCACAACATTTTGCTATACTTCTTCTCATTTAGAAACACATAAAATGAGTGGTTGTTGATTTTTTTATTTACATAAATAGTAAGATTAGAAATCGTATCTGGACTTATATCATTTAGGGACCAAATAAAGTTTCAATGTTAAAGTTTTACACCTTTAACAAGATACTTCAAAGTTATCAGCTGATGAAATCAAAGATGGCAAACAGTAAAACAATTTTAAATGGCTAAATAAATGCTGCCCAGTCCTTAGAACTACAACTGTTTTTTAGGTCTATAAGTTGGGTAAATATCTGGAAGTAGGGTTGGTTATTTGAAGCTCTACAGTAGTCCAAACACTAGCTATGACATCAGTACTTTATATACCACTCTCTGCAGTGTATATAACAATTGTCTGTCTGGGTCTGGGGGCCCAGCATAGTAAGCTAGACTTATTCTCACCAAATTAGGGCTGATATACTCCCGAAAGTTGCGTTAAGAGTAGGTGGGGAGCACCCACAGTTATTCTTTAGCTAGTGCCTGTTTGGGAATATTTATCAGCGTGCTCCACAGCTCCATGTGATTTTGTGCAGGTGTTAACATTACCTAAAGTGGGGGATTTTCAAGAATGTGTGCTTTTCAGGGTTTTAAAAATATGTGATTAAGTTTGCTACAAGTTTATGAGAGGAAAATGGGGGGAAAGCAGTATGGTCCTCCTGGTCTGTTTTTCTTCCAAGTCCAAGGATGACTAGGATGGAGGTTTGATTGCAAAGCACTGGAGACCTAACAAGTGGTGCAGGTTCAGAGGAATGTGTGAGCAGGGCAATGAGAGGAAAAGGGAGTGGTGGCATAAAATAAACATGGCCAACGGTGGCGGTGCAGTAGATATATTCTTTGAGATAAAACTTTTGTGGATAATCAGTAAAATTGGTGTCTTAATAGCTTCCTTACTATTAAAGTGGTTTAGTGGTAAAAAGGGAAATTCTTATTTTTCTTTTTTTTTGTGGGGGGGGGGGGGGGGGGGGGGGGGGGGGCTAATTGCAACAATATCATAGAAATTTTATGTCACTTCAGATTTTTTCCACATTTTCTCTTGAAAAGACATCAAAAGTTATTTTATACTGGCCTTTATTTACTTTTTTGCCTCTACTTTTTTGTTGCTGTTGTTTATCTTTATCTCTTAAAGGTATGACATAAATCAAATTTGCCTCTTACCGAATATAACAGAATGAAGGCTGGTTGTAAAAAGCAACTGTTAAGTCTTACTACAATCTGTTTAGATCTGTTCCAGTGTAATGCTGGCTGTATGTTTAAGACCATTGTCTGGCAGCAAGGTCAACCTCAGCTCTCGTCTTTGCCAGCCTCTAACATGCTTTCCTCTATAATTTTCCTGCATTTAGCACCATCCATCTTCGAATCCATAATTAGCTTCTTCTTATAACACAAAGGCATTCGTCTCAGCATTTTGGTTGTAGTTGAATTAGGTTATATTTGATATTCTAATGGTATCTGTCCTTTCATGTTTTCAGGTTGGACTTTCTTTCAACACTAGCTCTCATTTGGAAAGTACGTATAAAAAAATTTGAGTACATAACGAATAAACAGCCTCTTAACTCGTAATCATAAAATGAAAAAGCTCAGGAGGATCTGTAAACTTTTACACTCTCCTACAAAAACTTATCATGTACTGACTCTTCATTACTTTACTTTATTTGATCTATTTTCAAATATGCCCTCTCACTCACTTGTCTGCTGCGTTTGTGGATTGTTCAGTCGTCTTACATCACAGTCATCTTGCATCAGTACAAGTGTTTGTATTCATCTATATGCATCTACCTTAAAAAATACCTTTGGATACTTCAGCTGTGAGTGTTAGTTTGGGATGTTTTTTTTTTTATTTTATCTATTCTTTGTCTTTTTCTGTTTTATTTTTTTGTTGTTCTTGTTATTTATTATTATTAGAGGTACCAGGAATTTCTGTCTTGGTAGGTTTGCAGGTATGCTGTTTTCAGTTCATTTCTAAATTATTATGATTTCTGAGATGTTGAAAGTCTGGGATATTTGTTTTATTACCAAACGCAGCCTTAAAGCAGTCAACTTTATCCCAAACCTGTCTGGTATATTCCTCTTATTTAATAGGGTGCCAGTCAAACCATGTGATATGTAATTTTTTTTTTGTTCCCTTCACCAATTTCACACCAAACCTTTGCAGCACTTTAACCATGCAAGAGTCCGTTTTCTGGGGTAGATCCCACTGCTATGAATCTATCAACCCCCCTGGCACTGTTAAGATTTCTACAGACCCTCTAGTGGTTTCCTTGCAGTGTAAATGTGTACCCATCCCAGTGCACCAAAAGCAGGAAGACAGAATGTGACGAAAAGCAGCACGTTTAATTCAAAGAGAAAATAGATGTAGAATAACTCTTAGGGCTACGTGGAGTATTGATGAGGAGCAGCTGTAAAAATATATTTGAATGCCAAAGAAGCAACAAAAAATCACGAGACCAACTTTTCTCCTTATCATTTTTCTTCTTCTACATCTGGAGCAATGCTGTCCCTAAAATAATCTGTTGCAACAGATGCTTAGCCTGACCTAAAAAGGTAAAACAAAAGTGTCTAAAAGAAAGTGTAATTTTCTCAGTTTTTCCCCAAATCACGAGACTGATCTCTGTAAATGGTCTTTTTGTGGCTGAATGCAGTCAGCTTATATTTAAGGACAACAGGGGGTATATGAAGCCCTCTAAGTAGATAAATACCAATGTATACAATAATTAAGTTTTGTTGAAAATTTCAAAACAATTTCCCTGACTTTTTTATTCATTCCATAACCTGAAAAAGCCAGTTGAATTTGGCTGCTGTATAATAAAACAAAAGGTTCCAGAGGTGCAATTATTTTTGCACAACAGATATGAAAATATCTTTCACATTACATTGCACCATGTTTGTACTAACCTTGCTGGATGACCGTTTCCCCTGCAATGTGGGTGACCGGGAACATGGCATCAAATATGTCACTGCAAAAAAGAAAAAAGAAAAAGAAAAGAAAATTAAAGCTATTGTGCTTTTTTTTCCACATGTTTTTTCTGTACATTCTGAATTCCATATATATGGACCCACAGAGAATGGTGTTATCGAATATGGACCAGAAAGCCTTTTACTGCAGCTGCACAAAAGTCATTAATCAACGAAAACTATCCCAATGAAGAACTTCACACAAGCCTCCGATCAAAAACTAACTGATGATCTCCAATGGTGGATTTTACATGGCGCCATCGCTACAAACTCGTTTTTATCCGTTATTAATCAGGCTGTTTTAAACAAGTATCCTTTCTGCGGTCTGTCTGAAAACTTGTTCCATGTTTTTATTGAATGCACAAGACTGAAAACAATTTCTAACCTTTCAATGAGAGTTTTTAGTCTTTTTGTGACAATTTTTACAAATGCTCTTTTTATAGGAGGAGTTTCCGAAGACAAAAGAAATACAGGTGCTGGTCATAAAATTAGAATATCATGAAAAAGTAGATTGATTTCAGTAATTCCATTTAAAAAGTGAAACTTGTATATTATATTCATACATTACATACAAACTCATATATTTCAGATGTTTATTTTGTTTAATTTTGATGATTACAAATGACAACAAATTAAAATCCCAAATTCATCATATCAGAAAATTAGAATATTGTGAAAAGGTTCAAAATTGATGGCCCCTGGTGCCACACTCTAATCAGCTAATTAACTCAAACCACATGCAAAAGCCTTTAAATGGTCTTTCAGTCTAGTTCTATAGGCTACACAATCATGGGGAAGACTGCTGACTTGACAGTTGTCCAAAAGACGACCATCGACACCTTGCACAAGGAGGGCAAGACACAAAAGGTCATCGCTAAAGAGGCTGGCTGTTCACAGAGCTCAGTGTCCAAGCACATTAATAGAGAGGCGAAGGGAAGGAAAAGATGTGGTCGAAAAAAGTGTACAAGCAAGAGAGATAACCGCACCCTGGAGAGGATTGTGAAACAAAACCCATTCAAAAATGTGGGGGAGATTCACAAAGAGTGGACTGCAGCTGGAGTGAGTGCTTCAAGAACCACCACACACAGACGTATGAAAGACATGGGTTTCTGCTGTCGCATTCCTTGTGTCAAGCCACTCTTGAACCACAGACAGCGTCAGAAGCGTCTTGCCTGGGCTAAAGAGAAACAGGACTGGACTGCTGGTGAGTGGTCCAAAGTCATGTTCTCTGATGAAAGTAAATTTTGCATTTCCTTTGGAAATCAAGGTCCCAGAGTCTGGAGGAAAAGAAGAGAGGCACTTCATCCACGTTGCTTGAAGTCCAGTGTAAAGTTTCCACAGTCAGTGATGGTTTGGGGTGCCATGTCATCTGCTGGTGTTGGTCCATTGTGTTTTCTGAGGTCCAGGGTCAACGCAGCCACATACCAGGAAGTTTTAGAGCACTTCATGCTTCCTGCAGCTGACCAACTTTTTGGAGATGCAGATTTCATTTTCCAACAGGACTTGGCACCTGCACACAGTGCCAAAGCTACCAGTACCTGGTTGAAGGACCATGGTATCCCTGTTCTTAATTGGCCAGCAAACTCTCCTGACCTTAACCCCATAGAAAATCTATGGGGTATTGTGAAGAAGAAGATGCAATACACCAGACCCAACAATTCAGAAGAGCTAAAAGCCACTATTAGAGCAACCTGGGCTATCATAACACCTGAGCAGTGCCACAGACTGATCGACTCCATGCCACGCCGCATTGCTGCAGTAATACAGGCCAAAGGAGGCCCAACTAAATACTGAGTGCTGTACATGCTCATACTTTTAATGTTCATACTTTTCAGTTGGGCAACATTTCTATAAATCCTTTGTTTTTATTGGTCTTCAGTAATATTCTAATTTTCTGATATGATGAATTTGAGATTTTCATTTGTTGTCATTTGTAATCATCAAAATTAAACAAAATAAACATCTGAAATATATGAGTTTGTATGTAATGTATGAATATAATATACAAGTTTCACTTTTTAAATGGAATTACTGAAATCAATCTACTTTTTCATGATATTCTAATTTTATGACCAGCACCTGTAAGCCAAAGGCCCGACTTTTACTTTTTTTAAACAGTGAAGCAAAGATGGCCATTTACCTGTCCCGTAGAGACAGACTGCAGGAGGGACCTCACCTTGATGCCGCGGTTCTGTGGAAGTGCAACGTTAAAGCCAGAATAAGGCTGGAGTTTCACTTCCACAGAGCCACACAGAACATGGAGGATTTTATTCAGTTTTGGGGTTTTAACAAAATTTTATGTTGCTCTTCATTTAATGATTTTTAGCTGATACTTGTTTTTACCTTAAAAGTGATTTTTAACTGACACTTGTTTTATGTCAATTGTTTATATGTTTGAAGTGAGTAAATAAAGTGCTGTTAAAAGTCAATATATAACAAAAGACCATGTATCTGAATTTCACCCAAAATATTTCTCTGTCAATTCTGGTAAACTGTCTGCCACTACAGAGAGGAAAGCACTGCCTGGTTAATAACCTTTACAGGGGGAGTAAAGTAAAGTTGCTGACCGGGACTGAAGATGTTAGTGGTGGTAGGAAGGCTTTGAGGAGCTCATCAACCCAGCAGCAACACCTTCCCTGGTGAAAGGAAAGGCTGGATAATTGCTCATCACCCAGTCTATAATCACCAAAGTGGTTAAAAACCTCCACAGGCACTCTGTGAATACAGAGTAGAAGGTCCTTTAATAGCGGCCATCCAGTCTCTATACGAGCGAAGCAGGTGTCTGATCCACATTGCTGACATTAAGTGGAACCTGTTCCTATTGCACCTTGGACTCTGGCAGGGTAGCCCACCGTAACCGGTCCTATTTAAAAAAGTTATGAACAGGACTAGAAGGGTCCTGGTTTGGGGACCAGCAGATTTCATCTCTGCTCCAGCCCAGCAGGTACGAGCGCCTGTTAGACTGCTGTTAATGGTGCAGTTTAAATGCATGAAGCTTCAGAAGATTAAAGCTCCACTTCTGGAATGTGTTGGGACAAGAAACATTATCCTTTTCTTCCTACTCTCTGAGAGTCTGTCCGCCTCCAGGGGTTTATTTTGTTCTATCTAATCAGTTTTATACAGCTTGTCTTATAGAAGAAAATATAGACAAGCAACTAACTATAGGAATATCAAAGACTTAGAAAAACTACTGAGTGAATTTGGAGCAAGTCTGAGCCCGCTCTAAGTTATCTCTCTATATGTGTGTGTGTGCACCATTGAATGTGCATGTTTAGGCCAGTATGTCTGAATCTGAGTTCATCCAGCCTAAGAAAACACACAGGTTTGGACAAAATAATGTGTGGGTGAGGGATAACAGCATGCTCCCTAACCTGCAGTGCTCTGTAGTGAAAAGAAACACAAGATACACATAAAAAATTGGGAGAGAAAAAAACAATATGTCAACAGATGTTTCAGGGAGATCTAAGGATGTTAGTGAGTGGTTTGGACGAGAACGAACCATGCTGGTATTTATTTATGTGACACAGAATAGAAAGCAGACTTAAGAAAGTGGATTTCAGCCAAATACACCCACAGGTAAGCCCAATGCACTGCAGCTGGCCACTGACTCACACACATGCACACACTTCAGGAAACACTCACACATGTCCAGAAAGTCACGCTCACGCTTTGAAGTGTGCAAGCCCTAAATACAAAAGATGCAAAACCCTCATATATGTAATGATGTGAAGAAGCTGCACCCATACGTGTTCCTTTGCATGTCAGCACACCATTATTACACATTTGGACAAAAACAACAAACTTACAGACATCTATTTCTGATTAAACAAAACATCCTGGATGGCAGGATGATGCGACATGAGAGCCTAAAAGCTTTGATGGTGGTTAGTCAGAGCAACATCTGCAGGACTGCCCTCAGTTCTGCACACATCTGTGACCACCTGCGCGTGGTGAAATCTGGAGTAGGAAGCTTTGGAAAATAAGTTTCAGGTTTCATGGTGAGATAAAGTGATGCTGTATTAAAAGTTTTTTTTATATACATAAGTGAGGGTTTTAACATAGTTATAAAGAAGTAAAAATGTTCTGGATAGAGCGGGTAACATAGGGGCCAGAGAAGGGTTTTTTATTTCAACACAAAACCGAGGCGGCTTCTTGTGAGTGGGTGTCCAAATGATCAAAGAAAAACCAAACCTGTGTTTAAGTAATTACACTTGACCACCTCTTTCTTTCTATTCCCCATCTATCTGCATCCATTCAGTGAATGCATCAGTGAGCAGAACAAAGATAATCATGATGGTAATTACTTCCCCTCGTCTCTGCCCATCGCTCCCTTCTCAGTCACTTTTCTTCCTTCCTATACCCTCTGGATTTCCCCGTTTCTCCTTTGATTCATCTGGCCCCACATTTTACTCCCACCCTTCTACCTAATGCCCCCTCTCTGTGTGTCCTACATGAAGTGATTAATCTTGTCCTTTCCGCTACCTGTTGCCCCTGCCTGACCTTATGAAAAGACAGAGTAACTCCACCGACAATGGCTGTGCAATTCTGACAAAGACAGATAGTAAGGTGGTGAGGCAGAGACACCTAAGAAGGAATTGTCATGATGGTGGTAGTACTGGGAAATTCATCCCAATCCAAAGCTTCTTTCATTGTGAGATAGCACCAGGGTTCCTTGAATGGAGGGACAAACTATTTTATTGAAGGGGCTGATGACAGACCGAACCCTGATGCTCAAAATAAACTTAGTGTCCAAATGTCCGCCCTAATCACTATATAGGGCACTATACAGTGGTTATCCCATTTTAAATACGTTTTTGAACGTTGAGTTTGAGGCTTTATAGAATAGACCAAAAAGAAAGCCTTGTTTTGGCTTAGAAAACATGCAAAATGAACCGGACCAATGGGTCTGCCACCTAGGAATGGGGGTCGTTTGGGTTCTTTGTTAGCCTACAAAACCCGATACCTGTCTATTTCTCTGAAAGTGGGGTCATTAGGGGGAATT